CTAATTCATTCCAATCATTCACTAACATCACTAAGTCATAATAAACAGTTTAACAGAGAAGTACCACTTTCTATGAATAGGTCTAGATCTGAACTTCTAAAACTTGTATTTATCATTTCTAATAGTCAAGTCATTACATTTCATCATCTAAAACTTGTGTTTATCACTTCTAATACTCATGTCCCTACACCAAGGTTTTATTTTAAGAAAATTTTCAGGTTGTCCTTTGGACAACCTGACCCATATAAGTTTGTCTAGAAGATTGCATTGGTTGTCCGAAAAGAAAAAATACCCATAGACCCTCCAAAAAGATCCATTTACAAAAATTTGGATGTTTTTATTTCTTATTTATTTCTAAAAAGTATAATTAATGTTTAAGTTGTCAATTTTTAATCTTTATTCAACTAATTTTTGATGCCTTATTTCCCGGGAAGTTTCATTACATTGGAAAACATGAGCCCAAACCATGCTAATATAACATAGTAACTTAAGGAAACAAGCAGTCAATGACTTGTTAAACTTTTAAACGGATCAGCAATCCTGGCCAATCAGATTCAATGTTTTCCTTCAAACCAGCTTGGCCTGCCTGCCAAGTACAGTAAAGTCTGGCCTATAGTAAGACTAGATTTGCATGGGAACTCTCACACATACAACTATGCCATAATACATACACAACGCCGAGTACTGCACATGTACACACGCTGATAATATGTATTGTCGTTCATACTCACAGTGTATATTGTCCTGGAGAGAGGCAGAGCTAGCCTTATTTTATTTACTGTTATTCTGTTTCCTACTGATCAAAATTTTCATAAGATTTTGTACTCACTTATCATTATTATGTTCTATTTAATTGTGGATTTTCCCACTTTTTCTCATGGTAGCTAGGCCTTATGTACTTCCTAGACTCAATTGGTCAAATCTGTTTAACATTAACCTTAGGCCTATATGTGCATAATTCAAAGGGGGGGTGTGTGTGTCAATGTTTCAACTGGGATGGTTAATGATGAAAATACTTAGTTTGATTTTGCAAATTTGATTGTTTTAGTTCCTACTGAAGGTTTATTGATAAGAAGTTGCAACAGCCATGTTATTAATATTGTCGTAAACATCTATACAAGAAATTAATCACCCTAAATATTCACGTTAACAGCATTCGTTTTTGTTGTGAATTCCCACCTGCCCACATATATGCATACAAACATCATGCAATACAGTATGTGGTAATGTAACTAACTAAGCTGTATACACTGTACTGTGTTACCACACATAGCCATTCACGCTCAGTTGAACTCCATACAAAATTTGCTTGCATAAAGCAGCACAAAGATGTAGCTTGTCCACAATAGAAAGTTTAATGACTTAAACAGCATTATTAGATAAACACAAAAGTGAACTTTTCCTAACGTTTCCAGCCCCTTTTGGTGGATTGTACCAACGTTTCTCTTATACAAAGTACAATCTTTTTGAAACAGAAAAATGGACCAAAAGATATTTTAGTGAATTTCCCAATGACTTTGGTTGAGGATCATAGTCAACATTACATGTGTAGTGTGGAATTGGATAAGTGAACAGTAGACTGTGATGCTGTTTTGAGTAAGTGTCTGTTACAGGGCATTAGTCATCTGCTGGACAACATGGGGGGTTTAAGTTGGTCATCTAAGGATGTTTTTAGTCATCACGGGCAACTGTTAAAATTGAGCCCTGCTACATCTACCACATAAAGTTTGTATTTATCTTTCTGATACCCATGCCCCTATATCTCACCATCTAAAACTTGTATTTGTATTTATCACTTCTGATACCCATGCCCCTATATCTCACCATCTAAAACTTGTATTTGTATTTATCACTTCTGATACCCATGCCCCTATATCTCACCATCTAAAACTTGTATTTGTATTTATCACTTCTGATACCCATGCCCCTATATCTCACCATCTAAAACTTGTATTTGTATTTATCACTTCTGATACCCATGCCCCTATATCTCACCATCTAAAACTTGTATTTGTATTTATCACTTCTGATACCCAT